AGACTCAAGGAACCATGTACCATCATTATGTCGGTGGGAACAACTGTTTGGATGTCCTTTCAAAGAAACAAAATACAAACACTGGCCAAACCATAAGTACGTTATGAGGAAAGTTTTTAGTGATTTTGGGAAAGTGGAAGACGACACTCTGACTCCCAGGCCAGTTCGAGTTCTCAAACGTTGTCGCGTCTTAATACACATTCCCCTTCATTACATCACAATCTCAAGGTGTTAAACATCCACATTAAGAATATGGATGATCCACATTCTTAAAGTCTTCATAAAATATGCGTATACCTAACTAAAGAATTCATACGAAGTTAGTAGTCGGAAATCAACGCCAGTTTTGAATCGACGTAAGGCTTACATATAGCTCGGTAGGATTCTTCTTTTTTCCGAGTTTAATTCTTCTTGCTTTCATTCGTCTACAGATGTCTTTGGAATTGGTGTTGCTTTGCCACTTCGCTGATAGCCAAGTTTACCGTACATACTTTGTAATGCAAATTGCAAATAGAGAGAATACATAGCCTGAAGTATTAATTCTTTTCCGTTCTTCAAGCTTTCTACCAATTCCTTAAAACGAACAAGTAACGACTGTTATGACTTTTTTTGGCAATCGGGGTCATTTGACAAAATTGAAGAGATACGTCTAAAATCGGAATTTCTTTAGTAAAATTAAGCGCGTGCCCTCGAGCGGAGTGGATATGTTTTTCTTTCCTTCGTTTGTAACTCATCTGAGACTGGAAAACATGGTCAACTCAGAAAAGAAAATCAGAAATTGAGAAACGAATTTGCCGAACTGAAGAAACATTTATAAAAGTTAAGTGTGGAAATTGGTAACAGAAACAAAGAAAATGATCGAGCTACGGATAATCATGGCGACGATTCATCGCCAGAGAGTAAGGCCAAATCGGTTGAATTTGCATCTGCACAGTGCGATGAGCTCCAAGCATTCAGGAAATACACATCTGAAGAGGTATAGAAAAAGAAACTCAAGTTAAATTCAATCTCTATATTCAAATGCTATATTTCTTCATTTCCGTTTTATTTCCGGTGTAATAAAACAAAGTTAGTTAAGAAAAAAAAATTGACCAGTCTTGATTAGCAGTAACTATCCGCGGGTCAAAGCAATATCTTGTAAATATGTACGAAAAATATAATATGTACGTATGTATGTATGTATAAAATAAATACGTTGGAACTTTTTTTTCGCCGACAGACAGCACAGTTGTCTTTCGATGAAGGTGTACGTGATTTTGTTTGTTTGATTGGAATTGTACGTGGCAACAATTTTGTCAACATACAAATTCTGGATAGGAGGAAAGAACTGACGCAGTAAAGCTATGATTACTTTTCAGGAACAAGGACATGCTCACTCGCAGTGAACGAAACTAACTCACAGTTACAATAATATGACTACGTGAGCAGCTTAATTACTTTTGATGGTATTGAATGATCAACGCGCATAAATATCCGGATTAAAGTTTGACAGTTTGATGTCAAACAAGAATTACTAAGTGATATTAAGATGAAGGCTATATAGCCTTGGTTTAAAATATTTGGACCAGCTGTTCTACTGGGGGAGAATAAATTTGGCAGAAATTAAGTTGCACCTAAAGTCAACTTCCTCATATCTTTGTCTATTTATGATTTTTCAAAGATTGCATCTGGATGTTCACTTAAAAACTTCAGGGTCATAAGTTCAGACACAAAAGATGCTTTTTTGTTTGCAAGAAGGTTGTCTCCGAATTAATATTGTTTACACTATTTTGGTACGGTAAGCCCTTTTTGAAGTGATTTAAATTTTAATATACATTCTGCCCAACCACTGGCTCTTTTACCTGGTTCATTACCTAACTCCATCAAAGACTATGCCGCAAGGGGGGTAATAACCTTTCGGCCATGGAAAAATAATTAAGTACTTCATTTTCATCATCAGTTGATGGAAAATTCAGCTATGTTTGTTGATTTCATTTTCTTAAAGATTATTACATTTGAGGAAATATGTAATTAAGCTTTTACTGCCCAAGAGAATTAAATTTCCGTCGTACCTTTATAAAGATAAAAAGTTCCCTGAATGCCATTCAAAACTTGAGCATCGCTAACAGCGCTAAAGGTGCAGAGCGGAACTTACATTTCAGAGTAGATTGTCTCATTCGGTCAAAAAGGCTTAAATTGCTCAAACTGCTCATAAAATCCTCAAGGTCATCAAGGAATATACTTCTCACTCCCTAACAGACACAAAGTTCGGAAAACCGTAGGTTAGGAGCTGGAAAAAATTTGGAATGCTGAAATAAGTGAAACATATAAGGATTGACGAGGTCATAGATCCAGGTGCAAAAGTTATAGAAACATAATTAGGTCAAACAGCATAGCTAATAAATTCTATTACAAAATCAAAGGATGAAAAAAAAAAAAAAAAAAAAAAAAGGATGTGAAACGTTCGACGTATGTAAGTAAAAACCAATATACAATATCTGTATTGGCTTCGCCGTGTTTATTTTACATCGGGTTTATAGGAATCAGTCCTGTTAATACAAGTTTTTAGTTCTGGTACTTTTTGATCTTTTTTAAAATAGGTTAAAAAAAAAGTTTCTAAATGAGCTATATGAAGAAGGTGGTCCAGTTTTTTTCACAAATTCGCTTGTGCTTGCAGACTTTCAAATTCACATAATGGATTCCACTCGATTTGAGGCGAATCGGTGACGCTTTCTAAAAAATACTCGACTCGAGCGACAACAGCAACAACAGTAACTTCGCAGGTTTTCTCGAAATTCTCGGCTGAAAAATGCATAAATTACAGGATTTATCGAAGAGCTTGACATCTGCGCTAAATAACTAATAATTTGTAATACGAAGAACTTTTCATCGAAAACTCCATACACGGTGAGCAAGTCTACAAAGAACTTTGGTCCCCAACAAAATACGAGGCCACAAACGGCAATAATCATCAAGCGAGTGGACTTCTTTTTACGTTTAGCAACAGCGATGTGAATTTTACCGTTTTTGCTTCTCTTCCACAAACTAAAAGCAATCTTTGTATAGGCAAAGAAAATATAGATGAAAGGAATAACGAATGCCAGAATAAAGTATGTCGTTCTTGACAGCTTTGTTCTCCAGTCTGCAGGCATGTGACAGAAAATTATTTTTTGGCATGTTCCATTACGCGGACTGGTTCCTTTTGGGCAAAAAACTTCAGTGTATGTCCTCGCGCTAAACAAGAAAGGTAGTGACGTTACGAGTGCATAGATCCAAATGGCGGCAGTGAGCATAAGGTACACCTTGGCACTTCTTGGAGCGAGGCTCTTGAAAGGTCGCATAATGTTTCTGTACCTATCCCAGGCAATCGCAAGCATACTGTTAAATATAGCTGCGGCACAAGCGAGATCAAGACTCGTAAGAATCTTACAAGATAAAGAGGTTCCCCTATGGCCATGAATTTTCCAAACCAACGGAATCGTTGTGTGAAATACTAAATGAGTAACAGACAAGTGGAACACCAGAAAGCAAGAAATATTTTGTCGTATTCTTCCGCCTCGAAGCAAGACATACACCACCGTGACGTTAAGAACTGCACCGCTGGTAAACAAAGCCTTGTAGAGAAACCAAATGGTGACAAGGTCTTCGCGATATTCAGCTTTGGCGAGTTTTGTCAAGTTGAAGAATGTTCGATTCATTTTTTTTGGCAAAAAATTCCTCTAAAAAATCCCAGAAGCTCGAAGCTTCACATCAAAACTGGCTCAAAACCCACAAATTTTCACAGTGAGACTTTTTCAGCTTTGTTGAACAGTTTCGTGATCAGCTTACTTCTGAAAGCGGAACAAAAACTCAATAACATATAACGAGAATCAAAGGACAGAAGGAATAAACATTTGACTTAATAAAAAGCTATTTTTATAACAGTGCCGCCAATCAATTCGTAAAAAAAGTAATTTCCAAATGCATGGCCACAGGATGTTCATTTTCTCATTTGCCATAATTTTTGACAGAAGAAGTTCAATAAATATATTAAAAAGCTTTTAAAGATTGTCACATCACATCACATTACCTGTATCTCACCTCAGATTTACAAGAGTAGCTGTATAGCTAATTTCTCCGAGAAAGAAAAAAAAAACAGAAAACAGAACGTCTGCTTTAAGACTCGCAGTATATTGCATTCACTGAATAGAATATTGGAAATAAAGTAACCTCAGGGTAGAATAACTAATTTACGATGTCCGCATGTTTTTTAAATAAAAGTCTTAACTAATTATCTTTGAACAGTAAAGGCTTGCCTGCAATCGACAGATGAACATGAAACTCCTAGGGAGAATACATAAAAGTTTATCCTCAATAATATTGATGAAACTTAGAAGACGGACGAAAAAAAAAATCCGAATTTTGCACACCATTGTATTTCAGACACTAGATTCACCGCGAGACTATGA